TTCCACCTCCAAGCCCCACCCTCTCCTGCTGCTGTTCCTCTCCTCTGGGGCTCCATCCATCAGGTTGTCGGGGGCTGCTAGCGGCCGACTCCCATTCACCATATTTCACCGCCAGCCAGCCAAGCAGCTGACAGCACAGCCACGGCCAGGAAATTGCTTTGGCTGTGAGCAGAATTTCAAACGCAGCCACACTGCGTTGCCTGGGCCGCCCAAGCATCACTTCCCTCTCTCTGTCTCTCCCCTGCCAATCTCCCCGCGCACATCTCTGTTTTTCTCTGTCTTCCTCCTATTTCTCTCTCTCTCTCTCTCTCTCTCTCTCTCTCTCTCTCTCTCTCTCTCTCTTTGTTTGTCTTTATGTACTCATTCACTCCCTTTTCCTTCTCTTCGTTGTGCATCTCTTTCCTCACCTCCTCGTCCTTTACTGTATCCATCGTCTTCTCTTGTTCCTCTTCCTTCCCCTTTACTCCCTCCCTCTATCTGTCTACCTCTGCTTTTTCTATCCCCTCATTCCTTTTTTCCTTCCTTCCTTCCTTCCTCTCCTCCTCTTTATGACCCGTAGGGAACAAGGTGCGGTGCTGAATCTTTAATGAGCAGAGAGGGAAGGAGATAAAGAGGGAGAAGAGGAGCAGAGGGATAAAACCAGGAGCGAGTGATAAGATAGAGAGGAGTGCTGCTGGGTGTTACTCCAGAGTTAAAGGTCAAAAGGTGGGAGGGGCTTGTAGGTCTGCCCTGGCAGGTATGTTTTTAAGATGGCTCAAGTGAAGGTCATGTTTGCACACCTTTGCTTATTTTCGTGTTTTGGGTTGTGAGTGGTTTTTTTTTAAAGTTTCAATAAATTTGCCTGAACATTACACTCCGTTTGCCTCAGATTACAGTATATGAGAGTGATGTCGCACCCATCCTAATGCAGTTTCCAACGGTTGTTCTCAGTAACCAGTTTAAGTATTTTAGGAGTGCAACAGTGATGCACTTCTCTGTAATTTTATGCATCCAAACACTGTAGTGGCATGTTTCCTAATGGAGGCAATGCAATACTGCATGTGTGATCGATTTAATAGAATGCAAAAATCAAAACAAAAGTTCATTTTCCAAAGCTATCACCACTTTTCATCAGTGGGACACATAAAAAGTGGATTTTGAGCTTAAGGCTTGTGAAAAAGCTCTAATGTTCTGGGTTTAAACTAACATTATGACCTGTTTTAAATAATTTGACTGGTTTTCTGACTTTGAAATCAGAAAATACATCTTCTCACGTGACTGGGATGTGCTGTGTTTACAAGAAGTCCAAAATGTTGACCACAGTTCCAATGCTGTATAAAACCAAATGTTTCAGTGTCTGTAACACTTTATTTTAATGTTGTTTTTTTAGTGACTCAAAAGTAAGGATTGAGTAATATGTAATAGGAATATTCTCTCTTTTTTTTTCAAAATAAAAGTTGAAACAAAAAAATAAACGCTTTTCTTAAAAGAAAGAAAAAGCTGGGAGAACTCAAATGGTATTGTCATTTTTAGCATTTGTATTAAAAAAAAACCTTAGCAGGTGAAGCATTCCCACCAGCAGAGTTTGATGGTGAGAAGGCCTCCGAATGGAAAGAGCATGTAATATTTTTACCCTTTGATAAAACTGTTATAATGTTCACCAACACAGCTGAGATAACAGAGACAAGCTAGAGTTAGAGGACGCATTTAAGCCAGAAAACATGCAGATGTTTTAATAAAAGTGAAACTGTTTCTAAATGGAGTAAAGTCACTTCAGCATGTGATGTCACAGGACCTAATTTACTAAACAGTAGGAATGAAAAAAAAAAACCAATAATATGAGGGTCCATCTTCTGCAGCTGGTCTAATGTAATTTACTGTGGGTATCCTAATTAATTCTGCTGTTGCAGACAACAAATCTAATGATAATTATGGGCAATTAACTAACAACACATATTGCTTTAACAAACTATAACTGAATGTGATTGTGCTTACTTATTAAGAAAACTGCAATGCTAGTTTATGTGCCTATTGATCTGTTTTGAATTTTTAACATTAATATCAACTTAAATTGACATTACATAAACAAAGTTATCATAGTTTTTTTTTCTTGAAAGTCTTAACTCATTTAATATTTTTGTTTTAACCTTACCTTTTAGTTTATCACCTTTAAGCTCATTTTTTCTCACTGGTACAATTGAACTTTATTTGTTTTTATTTTTATTTTTTTGACACTTGTGATAAGGTGGGCATGGTGGCCATCTTTGGTAAGCTTACTGCAAGTTTTTCGTATCAAACTTTTTTCAGTCCTGAACCTAATGCCATATATGACCATTTTCCCGGTACACACAGCCTTATGAGGACACACTGTTCCTTATAGGGACAAAAGCCTGGTTCTCATCGGGAGAAACACTGTTGGTGGGTCAGGGATTAGTGTTAGGACTAATGTGTTAATTGTGTTTAGGTTAGGTTTAAGATCCGGTACGCACTGTGGTGGTTAGGCCTAAGGTCATGTACAGTATGTACTGGGTTGGTTAGGTTTAGGATTCTGTCAGGTAGGACTCTGGCCGCAGAATATGGAGGGTTTGTAGTTATCCAAAGGGTCAAAGTCTTTGTTGTCCAAAGAATCAAAAGCAGATCCATCATTCCAAACAATATTTATTGCAAACCATTTTAAGTCACCTGTTGTTTGTTTTTTCTTCTGTCTCTTATTTTTGTTTTCTCTCCATTAGAGTGTCAGTTTGGAGTTCTACATTGATGTCCATGCTCACTCCACCATGCTAAATGGCTTCATGTATGGAAATGTGTTTGAAGACGAGGAGCGCGTCCAAAGACAGGCCGTCTTTCCCAGACTGCTGTGCCAAAATGCACCAGACTTCTCCTTCGTAAGTCAAAGTAACGCACACGCAGAATAAGAAATGTTTTAATCTCAGCAGATTCTGGTGACGTGGTGTTCGATGAAGCACTGAATTACCAACTGCTGAGCTCTTAGAAGTAGACACTGGAGAACATAGGTTGGACTGGGTGCCTGTAAAATGTAGCTGCATGCGTTTGATTTAGCTCTTACTTTTAAGAAAACATATGCTTCATTGGGTTTAGATGAGTGGAAAACACACACAGACTAAATGCATGAGTTAATTAGCAATATGTTGTGCATCCAGCAAGTGCAAACGTAAACGAGTGTGTGCGCTCGCATGCTCTCTCTCTCTCTCTCTCTCTCTCTCTCTCTCTCTCTCTCTCTCTCTC